GAAATAAGTCTCATGGAGTGTTGAATGGGACAATTCATCTCTAATGTAGATATATTGATATAAATCATCACAGTATGTAGGATGTTAATTTTAGGTAACATAGGAAATAGCAGTAGGCCATTCAAACTTGATTCAGCAGTCAAACAGATTATGGCTGATCATCTACCTCTAAGCCATTTTTCCCTACTATCTCCAGATCCCTTTAGGTCATTACAACATCATTTGTTTGGAAATGTTGTTGCTGGAGACAGTGCCTCCCAATCATAATTTTGTGCAATTCAATCATCTCTCATGCTTTGAAACTCTAGAGAGGACAGGCCCAGATTCCTTCATCTCCTAATATGACAATCCCACCATCCCAGGATTAATCTGGTGAAACTCCGTTGCACTCTCTCAATAACAAGTATATCCTTCCTTAGATTAGAGACTAAAACTGTGCGTAATACACAGCTATGGCCTTATTAAGGCTCTATGCAATTACAAAAAGACATCTACTCCTGTACTCAAATCCCCATGTGAAGAAAGCCAACGTAAACATTTCTAATTGCTTGCTGCACCTGCATTCTATCATGAACAAGGACACCCAGGTCTTTTTGGACATCAACACTTCCTAATCTCTCACCATTTAAGAAATACTCTGCCTCTGTTTGGTCTACAAGAATGGATAACTTCACACTCATTCACATTTCTTCTATCTGCCACATTCTTTCCCATTCACTCAGCTTGTATAAATCCCCTTGAAGCCTCTTTGCATAATGTAAATGAATAGCTGTCAGCTTTTTCTGCTGCTGAAACAACTACATTGTTTCACAATATCAGTCCATAAATATTTCCTTTATTCCCTTAAAATTTGGCAATGAAGTACACGATTGAACAATGGACTCTGCAACTTGTTAAATATTTAATATGCAGCCACCCCAAATTACCCATATCGAGACTCAGCACAGCAGGAACCTGTCCTTTGAGAGCACCTTCCAACTGCATAACTGTAAACAAGAACGACAAGGGCCATAGATGCATGGGGTCATCATCCACTGCAAGCTCCCCTCCAGGACTCAAACAATTCTGACTTGGAATAATATCACTTTCCTCACTGTTGTTGGAACAAAATCTTGGATCTCCTTCACTAACAGCACTGTAGGTGTACCTACACCTCAAGGTTTGCAGCGGTTTAAGAAGACTGCTTCCCACCATCTTCTGAGAGCAATTAGGGATGGGCAATAAATGCTGGCCTACCAATGAAGCTCACAGCCCATGAATGAATTAAGAAAAGCTTCAGTCTGTAAAATCAATCAATATAGCATCATAGCACAGCATTCTCAATTTAGACTTTCTACAACCATTACATTGTGTAAGTGTCTCTTATAAATACTTATTATAACTGTTCAAATTGACCAATGGGCAAGACTGAAACTGAAGTGTATTAAATTATTAGTTACTGAAAAAATATTCAGCAATCACGTTATGTGTTTGCTTATTAAGTTTAAATTTATGCAAGTTAATTCTGCTTCCTACTGGTCAGCTGATATTTGGAAGGTTCATAATGTTGCTGAAAAGAATTATGATATAATACAAGACTGTTTTAACTCAACTGATTGTGATTCATTTCTGAATCATTAAGTGAATGTAGATATTAATTTCTCTTTCCCAAACAATGCACAGGGACAAGCAGAATCTTTATAGGTACAAGATTCCAAGTGAAACAAAACTGCCAAAACGGAAAAAAAAAACATATATCATGTAAGTGTTCATTGTTCTCAGCTTATGGCCCACAATTCACGAAAGAGCTTTAATAGAAGACAAGCAATTTGGGAGAGAGAAATTCCAAACTCTTATAACCCAAAATGCATAAGTCATTCAATCCCTTCAAATCTGTTCCACTGTTCAATAAGATCGTGACTAATCTTTAATTCCACTTGCACATCTTGGGTCCATATCCCTTAGTATTCCTGGCCTTAAAATGCTATCAATTTCAGACTTTAACTTGTTAATTGAGCTAGAAACTACTGTTTTTGTTGGGTACAGCACCACACATCCAACAGCTTTTCCAAGAAGATGTGTTTACAAACCTCTCTCTTGAATGTTTTGGCTCTGTCCCAAAATCCTCCACTAATGGGAAAGTTAATCTCTATCTACCCCATCAATTGCTTTCAAAATCAGATACCTCAAATAAATCACTCTTTCTTTTCCATGGAATATTTATTTATGCAATTTCTCCTTGTTTTGTCCATGGAGCTCCAGTTACATTCTAGTGAACCTACAGACAATGATGTATGGGAATAATAGTGAGGCCACAAAGCCAGGATGCCATACCATAAGTGGTAGAAGGTATGCTAGCCTCCCATTGGCACCTCCATCAGGCAACATTATTTGGGATTATGTTGGCCAGCAATCTTTGCGCTATCTTTAATTGATTTCTAAATTGAACATCTTGGACATCTGGTCATAATTGCATTAGATTTTGATAATTTAATCCACACCCCCTCCATCTCTATCTCACTGGTGATCAAGAGCTGAATCTTTCCATCCCAATTGCAACTAATTCGGGGAAGTTAAATGGGTTCAAGGACATTGATATAAAGAAGAATTTGTTGTACATCTCTTTTAATGAGAAATTCTTAATTAATTTTGTGAAAGTTTACTTATAACACCCAACATCTTGTTATATTGATGGACTTTATATGAAATTACTTGGTTATGTTATTTTACAAGCATAAAATTCAAGAAGCATATTGGTAAATGACATTGGCATCTGGCTTCCTTGTTGTAATCCAGAAACACTCAACTGGGTTGCAGGACTTGGTGAATGCATTTGTTTGCAAAGTGAATTCCTGGTTTCATCAGCCTCACTGCCCACACACTGCTTCTGTTACAATCGAGCACAAAACATGATATAACATGATTACCTTCAAGCAACTCTTGCTTAACCGCTGATGGGCATTGAATGATAGAGGCCTATGAGCCTATCACCTCACTTGGAAGGACATACGCTTCAGTTAATAAATGAGTGTGTGTGTGTGTGTGTGTGTCTAATCCTGAAGAAAGAACATAGAAAGAGGCAAAAAGTCAGTGACCCATCAAAGATTTTGTACAAGCATTATCTCTCAATCAGTAATATTAAAAGTGAGAAGTAATGGAAATAAAACAACATTGAGGATAATTTACTTTGTAGGTTAATCCCCAAATCACTGGACGACCGATGAAAACACACTTCGCACCAAGTGCTAAAGCTTTCAGGACATCAGTTCCCCTTCGAATTCCACCATCCACATAGACTTCAACACAGCTCCTCACAGCTTCGACAATCTCTGGCAGCACTTCGATCTGCAACGGTGCAGTACACCTACTTGAATGTCAAAGCAACACTTCTGCAAGCACATTACTGATAACAAGGAACAAAGAACATCACGTGTTATTTCAACTTTTCATGTGCCATATTTACCACCTCACTAAGTGGGCATTTAATTTTCATTGTCAGGTAAAAAAAGTGTTAAGGCTGGAGATCTTGAAAACAAAACTTTTCTTCTAAGCAGAAAAAGAGTTTGAAATGTAACGTTTCAGGGAGCAGCAACAGTGTATTAGAACAAAAATGCCGATACATACAACTCATGACAACACATGCAACAAACACAAAACTATGACAGATAGGAGTTAAAAGGCCTGAAAAATTAGTTTGATTTACTGAGAAACACTTTATTAATGATACTTTGCACTTTTTAATATGATCTCTGCCCAACTAGAGACAGGTCCTGATCTCTTTTGAAAGAATAAAAGGGATTGGTTAACTTGCTGAATTGTGTCTTTAAAAATCAATTTAAGGTTGATATTTGTGTAGACTTAAATTAGGAATTAATACAAGTGCATTGTTTAAACATCACTTTGCAGATTTGGCATCAAAGTCATTCTAATTGCCCTCAGAAGGTGAACTAGTGAAGTCTGTGTGATATGGGTACATCCACAGTGTTATCGAAGAGGGTGTTCCAGAATTTTAGCCCTACAACAATAGAGAATCATAGAATCCCTAGAAGCAGGCCATTCAGCCCACTGAGTCATACCACCCTTCCGGACACACCCTCTACCCTATCCCTGTAATTACCATAGCTAATCCACCTAACTTGCACACCCCTAGACACTACAGACAATTTAGCACAGCCAATCCACGTGACCTGAGGTTGTTGACTTGCTCGCCGAGCTGGCTTGTATTTGTTCAGACGTTTCACCACCATGCCAGGTGACATCATCAGTGGAGCCTCCGATGAAGTGATGTTATTCTACTCCGCTTGGAATTTATACTGTACGGTCCGTTATGGTGAATAGTGTCATTTCCGGTTTTGATCTGTATGGGTTTGTACATGGGGTCCAATTCTATATGTTTGTTGACTGAAGTATGGGTGGAGAACCATGCCTCTAGGAATTCCTGTGCATGTCTATGTTTGGCTTGTGCTACTATGGTTACTTTGTCCCAGTTAAATTGATGGCCTTCATTGTCTGAATGTACCGATAGTAACGAGAGTTCATCGTGCCGTTTTGCTGCTAGCCAATGTTCATGTATTCTGATGGCTAGTTTCCTTCATGTCTGTCCACCTAAACTGCACATCTTTGTACGGTGGGAGGAAACCGGAGCATCCAGAGGAAACCCGTGTAGACACGGGGAGATTGTGCAAACTCCACATAGATAGTCGTCTGAGCTAGAATCAAACCTGGGTCCCTGGCGCTGTCAAGCAGCAATGCTGACAACTGAGCCATGAGAAATTGGAATGTGTTTCCAACTTACGATAATATGAATCTTGGAAGGGGAGATAAACTTCCTTTTTCTAAAGCTCCCCCCTTTGCTACTTTAGTTGAAAAATTAACCTGCTTTACCAATTTCAGGACTCCTAATATCTAAGTCATTCCTACCCATAGGTAAAGACATCGTTGTCTCTTTTCCATAATCTGACTAGTGCATACTTTGTAGGAAATAAGTGGATTCTTAAAGCAGTTTGTGTCTAAACTTACAGTTGCCGAAACTCCATCAAGCTGTCTTCCTCCATGATTGGACACAATGATTCCTTGGACACCGTGCCTTACCGCAAGCTCAGCATCCTCTTTTGTCAGGATGCCCTTCAGAATGATCGGGAGATCAGTTAGAGAGCGTAGCCATTGGATATCTGACCAGGTTACTGCCGGATCCAAAACATCGTTGCAGAGAGGAAGATTGTCGTTACGATCTTTATCCTTCTGTATCACAAAATGATGTGAGGACTGTATTACTTAGGTATGGGAATGTATTGCTTATTTCTGATATTCTGTGAAATAAACAGCACAAAGGTCACTACATCAAAAATATTGTGATCAGAAATTTACAGCGACTGCGGGCAGTTACTTCAAAAATCTAAATTATCATAATTATCTTCACATATTTATACAAGCTATTGATGCCAATAACAAAAACATTACACCAATACATCAATTTGATTCTTTCATTCCAAAGTGGAATTTTTGCAAATACTACAATTGCACAAGTTGCCTAGGGAACGGTTACCCATGATTCTGCTGTCCAGACATTTTTATTATTCTCAAATGCTACATCACACGTGAAGAAATTCAAACCAGATTCCTCATGTCTTGAGGCATGATACTGGCTCCAAAGCTAATCAGCAGGTACTGCATTGTATCACTTGAAAAATTGAAATAGGCGTTTGACATCTTAACAAGAGAGTTGTTTTTCATTTGGATATTATTGTCTAAAATGAATTGAACTAAATCAAATATTCTTGTTTCAGATGGAGCTAATAAACACACTGTACGGTATACCAACGTATGCCCCTTTCTCGCCCTCAGATACTCTTCAAAGAGGAAATATTTTCTACTAAATCTCACAAACAATTAATGCACGTACACCAGTTCCTTATGTGGTACTTTGAGAACAATAATTTGTTTGCTTATTTTGTAGTGGGTTATGACCTGCTATGTAAAACTAGGCGGCACAGTTCCAAAATAAGAGGTCTCCCTTATAAGGCTGACGTGAGGAGATTCTATTTTTCTCTCAGAGGGCTGACAATCTGTGGAACTCTGCCTAAGAAAGGGGTGGTGCCTGATCCATCTCCCAGTGCCTGCTAATTAGAGGCTGGCAGCTTGCCCATTACTGGCAGTACCACTGGTTGCAGACCATTGCTGGAGCCCAGGATCAAAGTAAGTGGGGCATCCTCGACAGGTTCTGGTAAACAGGTGGGAGGAAAAAAGTTGTAAAGGCTAAGGGATATCTTTCCCCTACCTATTCCTTGGCACTGCAAGTACTTCCAAATACAATGCAGAGGATACCCACGGAGGAGGGAAAGAGCCGTCCAGGCTGCAGACATGTCAGCCAGGACTTATCTAGGAGCTTACTCAGTGATAAGCCCTTATGTGGCCAATGAAGCGTCAAAAATGGCATTTGGACAGGATGCCATCTCAAGATTTTTGGCCCCCAAACCTATTTCCAGAGTTGGGGTCAGGGTGGGGATGAAGTTCAGGAAGGCAATGGATTCTCCACACTAAACCGTTTTCCCACCTTTACAATTCCTTACCTCATGATATTTGAAACCAAACTATAAACCAAAGTAGCAGTGATGGTGACACCCATCCAAGAACAAACTGCATTGGGAATCATGAGGTGAAATCAAAAGAAGACTTCTACAAAGAAAGAGTCATTGACTTACTTCGGTAAGAAGCACACTGACGATTGGTAGTGACATCAGCAGTCATTGCCCATTCCTCAGCCTTCTGAGAACCTCAGTGGTCTGCAGAAAGGCCTGTGCGGAGAATTGTGGAAAGCTCAATTTTAGAAAAACTGAACAGCTTTGGGTTTGCTTGCCAAACAGCAGAAACATCAAGTTTGGATGTTTCTGGATGCAGTGAGGTCTTTTGTACATGATAGGGGATTACAGAGATCTCAACAGATTTTGAAGCTGCCTAACAGCATTTGCTGCACACATCAACCTGCTGACCCAATTAGGTTAGCCAGTTGTTGTGAATGTGGTGCACGAAAAGACTCCTTTATGATTGTATTGTGATCGCAGTGCACATTAAAATGCTGTCACATATTTTGCAGAATAAAGACACAACATTTGAGCAAATAGATCAATATGCTTTGCAGACTGAACTGAGCACTCAAAATGGGCTAATATCCATGGAAATACAGAGACATTGAATAAGTCTGTTAGATAGGTAAAACCAATGGCTGACTCACTCAAAATTCTAACAACCATAGTAAAACTGGACCCAGAAAGCAGCTGAGTAGGGAGCATATAGTGTTTCCATTGCAGATAGACAGATGCTTCAAAGAACTCTACAAATTGAAACACGTAAGTAAAGGAAGAATGCAAGAAAATGTCTTTTAAAACCAGAAAGTTCAGGTAATTTGGAAGTGAAGAAACACAGATAAATACAAATTTCTTAGATGGAGTGAAGATTCATGAACAAAGATTTTGGTCAGTTACTTTATTTTCTAAAGCACTCAAAAGAGAATTTAAACTTAACACTGGTGCAGGTGGTATAGTCTTATTTGACCATTTGAAATGCGTCAAACCACCATCACAAATCCAGCCATCTAGAATTATATTTCAAGGTCCAGGTGGCACAAATTTTCACGTAAAAATGTCCAACCATTCCAACATTTAGCCACAAAGGTCTCTCTAAATTTAATGCGATCAAAGGACATCTTTACTCTGCAAACTCACATTCATACTACTCAGATACTCGTAGAAAGCCCAACATAATGTCATTTTCCTAGACTTTCTCACAATCTTTGAACCCATCTCCAGTAAAAGAATATCTGATATCTTTTGTTGTACCTAGAACCTAGTTCCATCTCCATGTGCATTCAGACCCTGAGAGCACCCATCCCGTTATGAAATACTGCCAGATCCCAAGCCCCAGTCCCAATGCTCCCAGATCTCTAGGCTGCCTGCAGTGTGGTTATGACAATATCCTTATGTTATTTCCCTGTTCATTTAAAGACTTTGGATTACTGTGAACAATACCTCAGGAAACTGGCTGAGTCACTGATTCCTACAAGTGAATCTTTAAAAAGTCATTCTTGGGTTGAGGGCATCGTTGCAAAGATTGGCACTAGTTGGCCATCTTATTTGCCCCGAGAATACTTCATTGGAAGCGATTTGGCAAAATAAGTATTTGGTAGCTCACATTAAAGATGTCAACTGAATTGGTGTGGGACTGGTATTATGCATATACCAGACTGAATAAGAACAGCAAGTTTTCTTTCTAAAGGACATTAGTGAGTCAGTTGAGCTTCATAACCATCTGGCAGCTTCACAGACACTTTTAATGAAACCAATTACTTTTAAGAAACTGTAACAACTTCTGTCACTTAACACATTCAAATCAGGTATCCAGTGTTTCACCTGTGGCATATCATCACTGGTGTATCACTTGCCTTAAATATTTCAAAGTTCTTCAATTTTAAATGGGCAGGTATCTTGAAGTCGTTCAACATGTCTTTTCTTCTCTTGCCGATGTAAGGCACGTCAACTGTCACCACAAGAGCCTTGTAGCCCAGGCTCTTGACCCGTTGCACCAGCCTCTCAGTAACCTCACGCCTTTTGAAAACATAAAGCTGAAACCAGCAGCAGCCGGAGGACACTGCTACAATATCCTCCAGGGAGCATGTTGCATATGTGCTGGCAATATAACATGTCTTCATGGCATCGGCAGCTGTAAGGAATAGTTCCATTTTAACTTCAATATTGGCAGAAATGGCAAGAGCATGATCTTAACTCCAGGCAGGATCATGAGTCTTATTACTATGGCACAGGCTAGAGGTAAAAAAAGTAAATTGGGCCCCTATGTTGAAGAATGATCAGAGAACTCGCTGCCTGCTTAGGACATGTGCACTTGCCTCCTGCAACTTCAAATAGGATGTGGACTTGCCTTAATATTGGACTCAGTCAGATTGGGAAAAGAATTGCCAAGTCTCCTGGTTCAAATTAAATGACCAACCCCCCCTCTTCTCCCCACACCATGCTCTCCCCCTACATGGTTCCAACCCTGACTGGAAGCATATCAAATTGCCACCAAGGTCAGACAAGTGGAGCTGTACTAGAAAATCATCTGTGTTCTCAGTGAACTGTGCAGACCTGAGGGGGCAGATGGTCTAGGCCTACTCATACTTCAGATGTTCTATTGACACCAACTGCAACAAACAATGCATTATATTTTCTGGGGATTGCAAAAGAGACTGAACGCTGTAGATTCAACAGCAACTGTTAAAGCATTGAAAAGACCAGCAAAATAAAATCACAGGTCATCGTTGTTTTCAGCATGGGAAAAGAGCAAGCACTTTAGTTTATGTAATGGACTTTTATATCCCAAGGACATCCAAAAGTGCTTTCCAACCAATTGGACATCTCTTGAAAAATTGTACTGGCGGTCCCTTTACTGCAGTGATAGGGGCCATAACCTGAAAATGGTCCTGCAATCCAGAGGAAAACTGAAGTGTGAATATTCTGTCTCTTTTCTTTGTACAGAAGCAGTAATCAAAGCCCAGCTACAAAAGTGCTGAGAGTCCTTGAGAATAAGAATTCCTGCCCCCGCATGTATTACCTCCAATGTTTGGAAAGCATGTTTCTGGCTTTCTTGGGCCTCACATGTGCATGACTCCATTTTAAATGGTCTTTGGTATCCTAGCTTGCCACAGGAAGTCTGTTTCAGTCAATTTATAGTGGATAGCCAGCATACCCCCATGGAGGTAAGAATCAAACCTTTGGATATGGTCCCAGGACTGCTCAGCGGATGAAGGGGTATCAGGTGCCCTTGCAGGGAGGGTCAAGTGTCCCTGGAGGGTGGAAGTAAATAGGAAGGTGCATTATAGCAGATTAAACCATTGGAACTGTCAAAACAGTGAAAGAACTGTCAAAACATTCAAAGAAGTTTGAATGCAAATGTTTGTTTTCATCAGGTGATTACTTGAAAGATTTTCAATGTATTTTTTGAATCAATAAGAATTTTTTTAACAATAATATCATTGCCCGCAGTTGGTACTAGATATGGAGGCCAAAGGTCAAAGGGTGTTTGATGAAGGGCTTGGGTTGCTATAAGTTAGCAATAAGTTGTCACTAGGACTAGAATGGGCCAAAGGTAATGGGCACAGGATCAAATGAATGTGGGGTATATGAGAACTTGGAGGGTGGATTGTGTAATGGGGTGTAGGGTATGAGGGTAAGAGGAGCTAAGAGGGTGGTAGAGGGGCCCAGGGTAAAATGGAGGGTATGAGGCAGTGAGGGGTAGCATGGATAGACATTAATGTGGAGAGGGGTTGTGAGGATGAGAGCTGGAGTG